AGGCAGAAGTTGTTGTTACGTGAGGAAGCTGGTACATTCAGCTTTGTCCGGGGTCCTGGGAATGAGATGAAAGAGCAGGGCTGGGACTTGAATCAGAATTGCCACAAAGCTGCCCGAGCAACTCTGCCTGGCACCTAGGTGGCTTCTCTGAGTGGCTGGGGCTCCAGCTCCTGAGCTAGGAGAATGCACTATGTCCCGAAACATGCTGACCAGAAGGGCTGGCTCTTCTTCCAATCGGCTGCTGAGCTCACTCACAAGCATAGAAAGCAGACATGCTCCAAGCCCCGTTCTCATCAAGGATGGAGACTAACAGGGTGTCGCTTCCCCCCTCCAACCCCTTCCACTCGGAAATGCAGGGTCGGACCATGTGATAAAGGTGCCACGGGCCCAATACCCCCAGGGAAGCTAGCCACGAGGGAAAAGCACGACAGAATTCCATCCCGGCCCGTCTTCCTCCTAGGTGCCTGCGTACCACCATCTTTTTGACCACAGGGAACCAAACAGCCCAGCAGGCACATATTCCATTTGCAGAGAAAATGTGAAACCATCAGCCCCAGAACACTGTAAGGAAAACATAACTGTACCCAGCCTGCATCTAATTACCTGCCCGTGTCGGGGTGTTTTTCAGACACCTGGGTGACTAGGTTGCCTGTTTCAGTGTTTCTACCACAAATACAATTCTGGACAGGATCCAAGTTTCCTTTTTTTTAACGACACCCTCTGCTTTTGAGGAGCTGCCAGCTTTACTTTCCTCAGAAATCTAAAATGCCTGAACCAAGATGAGTTCTAGAAATGTAAACTAGGTGTCAGGAGCACCTGCCCCAGCCAGGAGCCCCCTTCGCCGATCCATTCCCTCTTAGGACTCTTTCAGACTCAGAGAAGGGCTCAAGATGTGACATTCAAAGGCCAGCTACACCAGCACATTTTTTTTTTTTTCTGGAGAGTGGCCTGGTCTCCACTTCGCTTAATGTGACAACATCAAATGGGCACCTACAGCCTGCCCACAAGGCCAACTAAAGGGGCACAGAGGATAGTAGGTACCCCATCCCCTCCCTGCACAGATGGGAAGATGGCCGGAGAGTTAAAGCCACAGCCTCAGGAAACCCAGCTGGGGCAAGGCAATCAGGGGCTTCCCCTGGCTCTCTCTATTTTTTTTTTTTTAATGCTTTTCTATGATTTTCTTTGCACATGCTAGGCAAGGCCTCCACCACTGAACTACGTTCCCATCCATGGCCTCAAGGTAGACTCTATTAGATAGAGGACATGATGCTCTAAGGCCGTGGTTCTCAACCTTCCTAGGCTGAGACCCCTTAGTACAGTTCCTTGTGTTGTGGTGACCCCCAACCAGAAAATTATTTCACTGCTACTTCATAACTGTAATTTTGCTAGTGTCATGAGTCATAATGTAAATATCTGTTTTCCCATGGTCTTAGGTGATCCCTGTGAAAGGGTCATTTGACCCCTAAAGGGACCACGACCCACAAGTTGAAAACCACTGCTCTAAGGAAATATACACATGTGGGGCAGAGGTGCTATGCAGTTTTAGACCTCAGAGATATCCCTCCATCTTTGGTTACGAGTTCTAGAAACCAAAAAATAATTACAAAAGCCAGTGCTCACTGAGTGCTATTTACCAGGCATTGTTCCCAGCACCTGGCAGGGGCTTAACTCTTTTGTAGGACACCTGGGTGAAATCATTCCTGAACACTCCAATCTCCAAGCCACTCACCAGGCTCCCACTGCACTCTCCCAGGGCCCCTTGAAGACGCCTGTCAGCAGCATTATGTAATTCTGACTTGCACAAGTTCTGCCTCGCCCACTAATCTCATCGCTGTGCAGGAACTGCGTGCTGAGAGCTGACTCTCTGCCCCCATGCACCTGGCCCAGGGCCACACCTAAAGGGAATGCATAAATATTGTACAGAGCTGCTTCCAACGACAGAGGGGAGGCTCCCCTTCCCTCCGCATCCCTGCAAATTCTGTAAAGGACAGAAATCGCTTCCCACTTGCCAACTCCCCCTACACACACACACACACACACACACACACACACACACACACACACACACTTAACCACTCACGGATTCACACAGCCTTCTCCTGGAGTGAGGACTGTCCCCATCCCACTTCCCCCATCTTCCCTGTGCAAATGAATAATGAAAATCTTGGGGAGAGTCTCCATTGCCCTTCCCTGGACCTCTAAGAGAAACAAAGGAATACATACATCTGTGGAATCTGCTCAGCACAGGACCAGCCATGACTGCATAGAGACATAGTTAATGACAGGTGTTAAAAAAAAAAAAAAAAAAAAAAAAAACCTTGCTCGATTTCGTGTCTTAGGAAAACAATCCTTCTTGGCCCACATCTACACAAACCCTCTTCTTCCTGGATATTAGGCTGGACAAACTAAGTATGTGACTGCCACCATGATGGTCACCCCAGGATGTGGAGAGCCAGGTCTTTCCGTGTGTCATTTAGCTGTAGTGTTTCAGAGGAGAAGCAGTCTCAGGGAACACACCAGACCCCAATACTTGGGGACAATAAAGAAAGCCACTGTGTAAGCTGAAACGCCTTGTCTCCGAATACTCCGCCAGCTACGAACAAAACAAGATCTCTTTATTCCCAGCTGGAGGACCAAACTGCCCTTTGAAGTAACTCAATATCTATGGTACCTGAGCCTCCCAACTTACAACCCAGAAAGAGACATGGGTGCATTCTTAGTCCCAGTGACTCAACAGTCACTTCTAAAGCATACACTACTGAAGACATGTCTTCTGAGTGACTGCTCAGATGGGTGACACTCCCGAGCCAGCTACAACTTGTGAAAAAACAGTTTCTACTTTTAGAATTGAAAACATCTCCTCTCTCAGACAAATGGTCTTCCAATGGTATCTCGACAAATAGGGGCCGGCTGAGGCTCCAGGAAGGGGACAGGCTCCAGAGGTGACAGCTGCCAACTCCAAAGAGTGCCTTCATCTGGGAGTTTGTAAGAGACCGGAGCCAGCACAGCAGCCACGAAGAGCTGCCCACCCCAGGCTTCTCCCCTGTCCCCACAGCCAAGCCCTCTCTTGGACTTGCTCTGCCTTAGTCTCACTCCAAGGCCTGCAACTTTGGGATCATTTGTCTGTCTGACATTGGCATGTCTGTCTGCCTCTCCTAAGAGAGAGCAGGAACTTTGTCTTTACCCCCAGTGGCCTCCCTAGGCTCCGCTCCACTGTGGGGTCTATTCAGTAAACCAGTAGACAAAAAGTGTTATGCAAAGTCTCGATGCAGGGGGTGCCTGGACTAGCTGTGCGACACATGACACGCAGCATGTGGAGAAGCCTAGGCAGGCCCCCTCTAGTCCTAGGCATGACAAGTAGGCATCAGAGAGTTAGCCCATGTTGACCATCACCTGACTATATCAGTGTAAGTCTCTTCTGACACCAGCATGGGACCAGATCACCAGCACCCCCACTACCCCACCTCTATCATCCTTAGACTCCAGCCCACACATCCACGTCCAGGCTTAAGAACCGCCTTGAAATTACAAGACCTGTGGACTCTGCTTTTTCCCAACTTGCTGGAGCTGAGTGGCGGCTTCCCGATATGTCACTCACCTACCTGCTCAAGGCATCTCCCTCCTCGCTCCAGCACCCACCACCACAACCACCACCACCACTACCATGCTAATCTCCAACTTGCTTTCTCCAGGTTCAAAGCTCCCTAGCTCCTGGGACCCAACTGGTTAATTTGAGATTATTTCTCAGCTCCTTCTCCAGGCACTGAATAAGCAGAGTCCACTTGCCACTGGCCTGGACCTTCCCCTCTTCTTCTAGCTCCTTCTTGGTGCAAGGATTAATCTCTTGGGAATGTGGAAGAGTGAGGCCCCTCTTCAGACACGACAAGGGAAGACAGGGTGTAGAAGGAACAGTGGCCCTCACAGCAGCCACTGTTAACGGCACTAGATCCCTGGTTAGGACAGTGGTCCAGCTTTTGCATGCATCAAAGAAAATCGTGACAGACCAGCCTCCCTCCAGCGTTGTGCTTCCTTCAGGAGACCCTGAGATAGCCCTGAGATAGCTCCAGGGGAGCCAGAACCTGGGAAGAAGGTTGGACCTACAGCTTCACTTCCTGTTCACCTATGCCCTAGTAGAGAAACAATAGCAAGCCACGTCCCTCCAACTCCATCTCTTGAGGTGGCAAGAAAAAAACATCATCCTCAGCTTTTCTTTAGTTTGGGGGGGAAGCAAACTTGTTGGTCAAAACCAACCCGATTATAAAGCACTTTTATTCCCAGGCTGCTTTGAACAAAACCCTATGATGTGAGTGTGTTCACATATTGGCCAACAGATCCTAGTTCAACAAACACTTTGTAAAATCAGCAAATGCCATATTCTGAAGAAGAGGTCTTGATTTTTCGAGGAGGCAGCTGACTGGCAAAATCAGATGGAGAAGAGAGAGGTTCCAAGAGAAACTTTGGAAAAACCTCTAGGCCTCAGCTCCCTTCAGGGCATACAGAGTGGAGTCGGATACAGATGTTCTCAGGGGGCCTTTTTGGTATGATCACCCTAATCCAGGAAGGTGATCCACACCATTCGGTCAGGAATTGCAGATGGGTACACTGAAAACCTAGGCTTTGCTATCAGAGGCACCCCACCGGTCAGAAACAGTAGTTGATAAAGGGGCAACCAACCTCATGGAGTCACTGGCCACAAGCCCGCACAAGGCTTTCCTGAACTTCACTCCTGAAAACTCTGTGTCATTAACTTACTCAACAAGGATGTAGTAAAGGAGTCCAGCATATCTACTAAGAGACGCAGGACGAGCCCCCCAGCAGCTGGTTCCAACCCCAAGACTCGCCGCCTCCAAGTAAGCTCGCTTACTGGAGGCGCCAATGTCCAGCCACCAGCAGCCTAGCAGCAGGCGACTCAGTCCCAGCATTGGGCCGCTCCAGCCACTCCAGCAGCGTTTTCGCCCCGAGGCTCAAGACAGGCAGGCAACGTGGACACTTAGATCGTGATGGAGCAGTCAAACAAGGGTGCGCGGGACCTTGGAATCTTAAACGTGGACACTGATGAGCGCACGCCAGCCAATCAGTTCGCCCGAAGAAGAAATGAGGCGCTTCCCCTGGTCTCCATTCATTCCCTGCTAAGCCTGATTCCCCTCGCCCCGGCGCCATCCGGAATCCTTAGGGGCTCCACCCGGCCAAGTGCGCCAAGACCTGCCACCAGCCACCACAACGCTCCTTTCCTCTCCACCGGGGCACACAGCCCCACCGACTAGCACGCCATCACCATCCCCCGCGTCGCCCCCACGTCCGGGCCGCTGCCTTCCCGGCTCCCGGCAGCCGCCGCCGCCGCCCCGTGGCTCGGCTCAGACAAGCCTCGTTCTACTCGCTGCTCCCCAGCTGGCCGAGACACTCTAGCCAGGCCTATCCGGGGACTGGGGGACAGGGGCGAAGGAAAAGGCAGGGAGTGAAAAAAGTTCAGGCTGCTCCCTCGTTTCTTCCCAGGCATGTCCCCACAGTCCCTCCTCAGGAACCCTGGTCCTACAGGCACCGACGCATGAAACTGTTCCCCTAAACCCACACGTGTCTTCCCGCTGGGAGCCGTGTTGCAGCTAGAGCCCGGGTTCCCGAGGTGGCTCCCGTCGGTACCAGAGATGGTGGCAGATGCCCACGTACCTGCCCCAGGCTGCGCCTGGAAACTTCCCCCAAAGTGTGCGGGGGAGGGGCATTGAACACGGCTAGGAGAACCCCGGTCCCCAGTTCTGCCGGCGGCGAGCTCGCTCCAGAAAATCGCCGACCTGTCTGTCCATTGGACCTATATCCAGCCGTTCTCCGCCCTCGGCTTCCAGGGCTAATTGGCCCAGGGTCGCGCGGATTCTGAATCCTTGGGGCGTTTCTGCGGGACAGCCAGCTGGTGCGTGCCCCGCGGCGTGCGTCCTCCGCCGGCCTCCAGCTGTCCACCGCGCCACCACGCCACCACCCGGTCCTCTCTGTCTCGGAGCTCGGGCCACATTCGCTCTGGCTAGGGAGGGGGCGTGTGAGCCCCGGCGCCGCCACCCGCAGTCGTTCCCGCAGGGTCCCCAAGAGCCCTGGGCACCCAGAGCACGGCCAGGACCGCTTAGTGAAAGGGACGCCTCCTGCTGGGGACTGCGCCTGGAGCGAGGAGGCCCGACCAAGTGGTGCGGGCCCAAACCTGCCAGAGCTCGGCGCGCTCCAAGTTCATTGTCTGCCTGGGCCGCCGCCGCCTCCGCGCCGGGAGCACCGTGGGGAATGAGGCTGCGCGCAGCCCCCGCCACCCGGACTCCCAGCGCCCAGTCCCGGCCAGCTGGAGCGGAACCCGCAGGAGGGCACCGAAACCCCGAGCCAAACCTCCGCCCGCCGCTTCTCGCCGCCCCCAGCCCGTCACCCGGCACCCAACTTGTACCTGAAAAGCCCAAGACTAGCTCGGAAGCCTCTGCAGCCCCGACTCCGCGGGAGCGCGCGCCCAGCCCCGCGCCTAGCGCCCCGCATCCAGGGCGCGTCAACCTGACTCCCCGAGCGCTAAGAGGAAAAGTTTGGGAGTGACTTGCAGATGGCGAATGAAACCTCTGAATAGAACCCTCCCCCCGCCCCATGTCGCGCTGACACACATCAGCTCGAGTCTGGAATGCGAGATCAAGGCGTGCGCGCCCCACGGAGCGGTGGGTTTGGTCCCCGCCCCCTCGTCTTGCAAGTAAATACAGTTTGTGTATTGCGGTAACTCTGAAAAGGCAAAACCGAAACCTGGTGTGTATGGCAGTGAGACCCGGGCTACCCGAGACAGTTTTAAGGAACTTGGCGGTCGGGAGGCAGCCCATACATTGATATTCAAGGCCATTGACGCTGGTGGTTTCGGCGCCCTCTGTTGTATTTTTGCATCCTACAAAGGCTGCCTAGCCCTTCGGCCCTGTAGGTTTGCTTCTTCTGGGAGGTAAGGCTCTGCAGGACCCTGAGCGCCACTGTCTGCCGCAGTGGCCCACGGGGGCTGCTCCAAGGAAGGGCTCCAGCGGTCGACCCCCAGGCTATGAGCTGAAGGTGCAATCGGTAAATGTAAAGACACCTTAAACTCTTAAGACTTGTTCGGGACAGCCTCTGGAGCACCAAACCCAGACTCTGGGAAGAGGATAGAAGCCACAGTCTTTGGCCTGCCCATGTTCTCATGGCCAGAGTCCAGCACCTTGTTTCTCGAAGCAACCAGGAAAATGCTCCTTAAACTGTAGAATGCTGGCATGTATGAGAAAGATGATCCAGACAACTGAGTCCCCCCCACCCCTTTCTCTCTTCCTGGAGGTTCCACCTCACCCCTTAGAAGCTACTACCACCCTGAAGTGTAAACTTCTGGCAACTGATTCAGAGGTCACAATCAGAGGATTATAACTGCAGATGCGAACCGTGGATGACAGGGGAGTTCTTCAAAACCCCTGTCTTATTTTCCAACAAATACTGCCTCTTACATAAAAATCTGCAAAGAAAGATTAATGAAGCAATGAGGTTGCCCCCCACCCCCTAGGCAGCAGACTGTATTGCTTTTTCCCTCCGTGTAGACTCGGCTTAGTGATGTGGAGGTCTTTATTATTTTTTTTTTAAACAAAAACCTTTTTTCTAAAAATACAATGAGCTGGTTTTTGCAGAGTTCACAATTCCCAATAGATAATGATGCCATTTTTCATGGTCTTACACACGTTGTGGCTTTGGGGCTTATTTATTAGCTCCGGAGAAAAGACTGCCTTTCAGTAAGGTTTATATATTGGAGTAATTGCACTGGGACACAGTGCAGGTTGCTGTTAAGGAGGGTGGGTTGTGCAGGCGCCTGTAAGCAAAGTCCTGGGCCAGGCAGCTGTCAGAGCAGGGCATGCAGCCGGTTTAAGCAAACACAGGGAAGGTTCTTTGGAAAAAGCAAGGAGGAAATCCCCTCCTGTAAGAGTGTGTGGAACATGATCCCTGGGCCACACGTATGGGGACTTTCCAATACATGCCCCATTATGGAGATGGCGCTGAGCCCACCCAGATGACTTTCAAATTCAGGTGTCAGAAATCACAGCTGACGTGGGAGCAAATTGTTTTTAAGTAAAATCCCTGTGTCGCTTTGATATGAGTTCCACCGGGACTTTCCAACGGTATTATACATGTTCCTGAGATTACCTGGACAAGGATTTCTCTTTTCCTCGCTCAATATTAACTTCAGAAAATTATCCAAGTATTGCTTGTTATTCCAAAAATCCCTGACAACACCCAAATGCCCTGTATGAGTGAAGAGGGGGGGGAAGGGAGGGATAGGAACAGGAGAGAGACCGGTACCAGTCATCCTTTCGCAGTTCGGCAGTTCGTGAGTAAGAAGCAAATGCAGGAAGTTAAAGACAATAAGCATGCCCTCCCTCCAGCATTCATTCCCAGGTCGTCGTGATTGGGCAGGGGGTGGCGGGTTGCCTGGGTTCAAATCCTACTTCCAACACCTACTGAGTAATTCTGCATAAATCACTTCTTCTGAGCCACTAGTGGTACACTGAGTTATTAAGCCCAGCTCTTCAATCTTCCACGGTGGCCACACAGTGCATTTTGTGTCATTATTAACAAAATACCTGAAGCTGGTTAACACCATAAAGAAAAGGAGTTTATTTACCTCATGCTCCTGGAAGCTCAAGAGCCAGTAGCTGGCAGACTCCCAAGATGGTTCAGACCATCACACAGCAGGGAGCCATGTGTCCCTGTGTGTTCTGGTCTGTCTCCCTTTTCTTATAAAGCCGCAAGCATCGAATCACAAGACTCCCCACTCTGGTGACCTTACTTGATTCTGATCACCTTGCAAGAGGCCCCCACCTCCAAGTGACATCTCCCCTGCCACCACCTCATAGTAAACAGGCGGCACCTCTCCATGACTTGACTTTTGACTTTTTTTTTTTTTTTTGACAGTGAGATATTGGGGAACAACTGGGTCAGAGGCTGGAAATGCTCTTTCGAGGCCAGGCTTTCTCTGTCGTATTCTAGTGGCCCGTATATAAAGAGCATTTCTTAAATAGGAGCTTCGTCTTCCAGCAAGGCTCCAGAATAAACACCCCGAAGCAGACCTGAGTTCAGCTTGCACCCCGGAGCCAAGTTATCCCAGCTTCAGCTGTACTCAGAGGCACTCCAGCTGACCTACACACACACACACAAACAGGGTAGAAAAAAAAATGCTAATCTATTGTAAGCTGTTTTGTTACACAGCATTACTGTAGCAGTAGCTGACTGTTACATTACAGCATTACACCATTACAGCAGTGGGTTCCTGGCAAAGCACAGGAGTGGGAGAGAGGTCTCAGCAGTGAAGAGCACTGGCTGCTCTTCCAGAGGACCTGGGTTCAGTTCCCAGCACCCACATAGTGACTCACCGCTATCTGCAGCCTCAGTTCCAGTACATCCAGTGCCCTCTTCTGGCCTCCACAGGCACTGCATGCACATGGTATACAGACATACACACAGGCAAACATTTACCCATATACGTAAATTTAAAAAAATAAATCTTTAAAAACAGAAAAGTGCTAAGCACATTTATTGGGCTATAGGAAACAAAGTAGCTATTATTAGTGAGCATCATTGTTGAAAGTTTTGCACATAGTTGCGACGTAATTGTTTGATAATGAATTAAATGAGTGACAATGATAACGAATAAAAAATTTGTAAGGGACAGCACAAGGACATCAGAGCATTGTAAAAAGGACCCAATACATCCCTCACAGTCACATTCATTCATTTATTCTGTAAACATTCTCTGAACACCTACTGTGTGCCATACACTAGGATGAATGAGGAAGCCACAGAGATAACTAAGGTCCATTCTCTTCCTAAAGGGACCTCTAAAGACACCCACCCTTATGACAATCAGTACTTTCCCACTCTGTATCCTTAAGCCTTCCCAACAATCAGTGCTACTTATGCCCATCCTTCAGGCTGGAAGACTGAGGCTCAGAAATCAAGCATGTAGAAGCAGACCTGAAGTCACTGCTATCCCTGTCTACTGTCTAGTAGTACCACTGATATTAAGTTAATGATGGGCAAACCCATGAGAACGGGGTTATGTCACTTTCTGTCCCTCAGTCATGCCAGGGCTTAGTAAACATGAGGCCCACAAGGCACAGATTCTGTTTCTACCATGAAAAGGGCTTTTCCCAGGGGCCTAAGGGCTCTAGAGGTCATTGCAGAAGCTCTCAGGTTCATTTCGGCAGCCCTGGCTTCAGATTTCTGCAACGACCTCCTTCCCACCCTGCGACTTTGACAAATTTAGACTCCTCGGTAACCCAAAGTGCATTTCAATTTTTATAAATTTAGAAATCCTCTGGTTAGGCGGATCCCTCCCGCAGTAATGCATCCATTAAGTGCACTTTAAACCAATTTTGGTATGCTAATCCATCACAAATCGACGTGAAATTTGGGTCCTTGTGAAAATTTCCTACACCCGATCCAAACCCTCTACAGGATTTAGGATAGTTAGAGGTTCCTTAAAGAGGCAGGCTTGACTCGGCATTGAACATTCAGGGAAGAAGGGCCCGAGCCAGTTATAAACAACATGAAAACTGTCTATGCTAGCGGGGAAGGAGGGGCATTTATTAAAAACAACAAGAACACTGCCAGATCATTAAGATTTCAGAACTCTTCTGGAGCGAAGGCATCTTGCATGTTACTATATTCCCAGCCCACAGCTCAGTCTGGTGCCACAGACACACCCTATAGGTGCTTGGCAAATGGCCCTATTGGAGTCACCTGCCTGAATAGTGACTTGTCTGTCAGCCTTCCCATCCTGTGATTGTCCCTGTTTCCTAAAAATCAGGTCTTCTCTCCCCACCAGTGAACCTTGGGACTGCTGGAATCACAACCAGAACCCTCTGAAGAAAAAAAAAAAAAAACCACGTGAGGCTGGGAGCATGGTCCAGGAAGCCAGGGCAGAACACGGACCCTGTAATTGGCAGCATAAAGAACCCAGGGGTGATCAAAGAGACATAATGTCACTGTTATCACCACGCAGGACTCAGCTGCTACAGCTTGTTGAAGGGCCGTGCCCATTAGCCCGATGTTTTTAGCTGCATAATAGACATTTTGCCAATAAGATCAAGTTTACAGCCCGGAGCGTCACACTTACTTGCTTCTATCGTAAGATCTACAACCCAGCCAACAACAAAAATGAACGGTTGGACATGGTGAAGGGTGAGCATCATCACCTGCCCTGCATGTGAAATACCCGTAGCTTCTAAACAAATTTCATTTTCCTGTCCGCGGGTTCAATGCGGTCACACATTGCGAAGTGGTGCTTGGGAGGAGAATGGAAATGACCCCCACAGGCAGGTGCTGGGAGCTGGCTGTGATGTGTTTTCCCCTGCGTCTCCATGTGGATCCAACCCCCACCACCCCAGCTCTGTGATGCTGTCACATGCACCTGCCTGGGTGCCTTCAGGAGTGCCACCGAAGGTCTTGTCACTGTGTTATCCCAGGCCAGTTAGCCACCAGCCTGGTCCCAAGCCTGACTCATCATAAAGTCCCTGGGGAGTTTTTAAAATATAGAGTCCTGGGTCCTG